AGCAGATGGTAAAATAATAGCAGTGTAGGTCTAAATGTAGAACTATACTCTCTGATATAGAAGTTACTTGCCACGTGTAACTCATGAGTACTTGAAATGTGGCTTTTCTGAACTGAGATGTGCTGTAAATGTTAAATACACACCAAAAGTTGATAAAATCTGTTGTTTTTGTTTACTGTTTACTGTGGCTAGTAGAAAATTTCAAATGACTCACATTATATTTCTATTGAACTGTGCTTTTATGGGAGGCAAATAATGGAGATCTATGAATGGTGTGTTCCTGAGGAAAAATAAGGAGCAATGGTACATAAAAGTACTCAAAATAGGACTGGGTGTATTCAGTGGTAGAATACTTGGCTTGCATGAACAAGGTGCTGGGGTTGATTCCTGGGTAATGCAAAACCAAAACCAAAACTATCATCAACAACAGAAACAAGTTCAACAATAATAACAAAACAAAGCTAATTAGAGAAGTCTTTTTGGAGTTATAAAAAGTGTCATCAGTGCTATTAAAAATCAACAAAAACAGACTTATATCTGGACACAATTCCTGCATGACCTGAAGAAAATTTTTAAAAATTTGAAAAAAAGTTGAACAAGTTTACTTCCAAATTTGTCTCTGCCTTTTCCTCTGCAACACTGAATACTTGAAAACAAGGGAGCAATGTTTACTATCTTTTGGTAGAAAAATAATTACTTTTTAAAAAAATTTAATTGTTATTTTTTTGGTACTGAAGATTGAACCCAGGGTCTCATGTGTGTAAATTCAAGTGCTTTACGCTAGACAAATAATTATGACCTAGATTTTATATCCAGTGAAACTCTCATTTGTGTATAAAGCCATCACAATGACATTCTCAGATGTACACAGAGAAATTGAACTAAAAGTTAGAGTTACTTTAATCAATTGGGAGAACAATCAAAATTAAGAATTCAAAACAGATAAATCAAGGCAAAAAGTAATTTGGGGTTTTCTCTTTGCTACTACTAGACCCTAACGTTATGAATTCTCAAGTGGATTTTGCATCCAAGGTGAAACTGGATTTTCTACTTTCACTTTTTCCCTATTACTGGAAACTGCATTCCTCCCTCCTTCTCCCTCAGTTCACAGTACATCCAGTCAGGCTGAATGACCACCCGGAACAACACTGAGCACTGCAGTGTCAGGAGACTAAACTTGGCCACACTGTTTGTCAAGGGGGACATGGCAGCCAAAGAGCAGCTCAACAAAAGCTTATTCTCTCCTTTACAGAGGCAGAGTTGCCAAAGGAACTTGATTTTCTCTATCTGTAAACCCCACATTTAATGAATGTTCTCTTTTTATTTTCTTAAATGATTAAAAGTAAGAGGTAACCCAAGGTAAGATCTCACCTGTTATCAGGCCCTCTTTATCTATGGCCTGAGGTGTGTCTAGGCTAATTATGCAACATGCAAATCATATGTAAAAATGGAGAAAAACAAGCATAAGAAATTATATCATGATGTTCATTAATGATTATCTTTGGGTGGAAGAATCCTGGATAATTTTAGTCTTTATGCTCAAATATTTTAGTTTCTTTCTTAAACAATGTGTAGTTGCTTACTTTTGTGCTTAGACAAAAGGGAGGCTGTAAATACCAATTTATGCAATTCTGTACCTCTCAGGTACAGAGATTCTCTGTGGTTTCTTTCAGCTCACAAGCCCTCCTTTTCTGGGAATTCCTTGTCCCCACCCACAGGAGCTTGGAAAAGCCCCGGTGACAACCTGCTTGTCCCTACCTAATAGGATCAGTTAGATCCTAAGTAGAGCAAAGCCCATCAGAAAATTTCCCTTGGGGATTTGGAACTGGGAATCAGAGATTGTCAGGGAAACATGGGAATGTGGAAATGGTTAGGTGACCATATTCTAAAGAAGAAGGGAAAGAAATGTTTGAGAGGGCTTCAGCTGGGAGCTTCAGCTGGGAGCTTGCTAAATCTGGTCCCACCGCTCTAGGGCCTGCTGTCGGCATTTGGTGGCATTCCTTGCATTTCAGGTCAGACCAGCTGGGTTGGGTGCCTATTACCCACAAGGAGTCCAGATTGATATTCTCTATAGTCACAATCATGCTTTAAAAACTCACAGCAATCTGGGCGTGGTGGCGTGCACCTGTAATTCCAGGCAAGAGGACTGCAAGTTCAAAGCTGGTGTCTGCAATTTAGCAAGATTCTAAACAACTTAGCGAGACCCTGTCTCAAAAAAAAAAAAAAAGAACTGGGGATGTGGTTCAGTGGTTAAATGCCCCTGGGTTCAATCACTGAGGGAAGGAAGGAAGGAAGGAAGGAAGGAGGGAAGGAGGGAAGGAGGGAAGGAAGGAAGGAAGGAAGGAAGGAAGGAAGGAAGGAAGGAAGGAAAGTTTGAGACAGGATCTTACTAAGTTACTCAGACTAACTGAGAGTTTGCAATCCTCCTGCCTCAGCCTCCTGCATTGCTGGGACTATAGGTGCACTACTGTACCCAGCTGTTTTCTACTAGAATAAGCATTAATTACTTTTGTAATTAGATTTAAAAAAAAAATTTTCCCCAAGAATTGTAGAGTGATAGACTTGGAGAATTCCAGGAGAGTATGTTCTGTCTACCCACTTTATTTTAAGAAGAGAAACTGAGAGGCTAAACAATGAAATGACTCACCAAAGTTCCCAAACTGGGTCAGGGGCTTTTTGATGACTCCACCAGGGAGTGTTTGGCTAGCATTGGTGCTTTTCACCCAGAATGCTACACCTCAGTTATTTATTCAATAATAAATTCTCTCAGTCACAGTGAAAGAAAGCTTCCTCCTGTGGGCGACTCTAGTCCACTGGGTTGCTCTGTGCTGCTGAGTCCAGATTCTGCCACCACTGGGTTGATGGCGTCTGCCTGAAGTGCATGGAGGAAGGGATAAGATGGAGAAAGTCCTCTTTTCCAGAGGGTAAGCAAGGCTTTCCTTTATGAGAGAGGTCGAAAGCAGAAACCTGGGGTATACCTGTGCCACACACTCCTATCCCCAGGAGTGTAATAAGTTCTGGCTTTATCTGCATGGGTGGCAGAGAGCCGCACGCTCAGGCAGAGGGACAGAGCAGCTTCTCCTGGCAGTCCCCCAGGAGGCTCAAGGGCTGGAGTCTGTTTTACATATTTGCAGAGTGGCTCATAAATGTTACCTCACTATAGACCCCGCTGCCAGCATCTCCAAAATGCAGGGGAAGCTGAAGAGATGATCTGAAGGGGACTGGAATTTTCCTTTCCCATTAGAAACTCAGAATTTAAGAAAGTTCCAAGGTGGATTCCAGAAGTCAGATTTCTCTTAGATCTGTTAGCCCTGTGTCCATGTGCCAGTCATTTGTGAATCTGTAGAATTCAGGTTGGAACAATTTAAGAGAGAGAAAAGGGATTTTCTGACTCTGAGATTAGTTTAAACCCCGAATTCCTTAGAGATGTTCTCATCTTTATGCATCTTGAAAGAGTATGAAATTCCTTTCTACCTGGAAAATTCTGTGTGTGTTCCAGGCTGCACAAAATCACTAGAAGACCTATCTGGAAAGGCCTTTTCAACCCTGAATTTTTAAGACTGCGCTCTTATATGATGCACTTTTTGTTTATTTTTGAAGATTTTAGTCTTCACTTTATGTGGCAATAAGAGGTTACATGAAGCATTCCAGGAAGCATTTGATATCCCGAGTTATATTAAGAGGCACCTTTCAGTATATCCAGGGCTTCTTAGTATTCTGGAGAGTGGACCATTGCAGGTTTAGAAGATATGAATTCATTCCCAGTGGTTTTTCCCAAGGAATTGACAGTGTCATCTCTGAGACAAGTCTGACTGTTTATTGTTTGGTGCCTCTAAGTCCTATGATTAGCAAGAGGCAGAGCCCCACTCTCTCACCTGGTTGGAAGGCCTCAGGATTTTGTTCCGGACATCTCCCACAGCTTCCCGGGGGCATCCTAGCCTTACCTTCTTGTATCCTTTCTGCCCAAGGCAATAGGGTGAGCTTTTAGATTGGAGCCCTGATTCCATCTGCCCCCTCTGGTAGTTCCCATCACCCAAAGGGCAATTAGTGGTTCCTCTTGATCTAGTCCTTGCTCTCCTCTCCACACCCATCTTTGTCCCTGTTTTCCTGGTGTGTTTCACAGTCAAGTGGAGTGATGTGTCCCTCTTGACCTTTTCACTCGGGGTGTCCTCGGCATGGAGTGCCCTGTTCCCCACACGGCACCTGGTGGACACTCTGCCTGGTACTTCTCAGGCGGCCTTCCTGGATACCTTTCCTCAGACTAGAGAAGAGGCATTCTGTGCTTGCTTTGAACCTATCCTGTAATCCCAGGTGTGTCAATCTCCCAACTAACCCTTTAAGCTATGTAGGCAAGAACTGTGTCTAAACAACTAGAGCAACGTGTGGAACATGGGCACCTGACACACAGCCATGGAATGAGTGAAGCAAAGGGACCAACCAGTTTACCAAATACCTGTATTAATGATGGTGCCTGAGCTTTGGTGACAACTCATGAACATTAAGTTGAAACTACCACCTCCCCACGGCATCTCCCCTCTTTCACCTATTACCTGCTTCCCTGGCCCCATACGCTGCTTCTCCCCAGAATATTAATTATTGCAAGAAATTGAGGCAAAGGAGCCAAGTGCCAATCATGAACTATGTAAACTCTAGAACTCGAAGGCATCACATCTTGGATCTAGAAGAGACCTTTCAGATAATCCTGTCTAGCCGAGGTCATCCAGAGTCCACAGCAGAGACTTTATGTCCCACCCATTCTCTCTTGGAAAAGGCAGTTTTCAGCAAGTATAATGGCATCTGTGACCAAGTTTTGTTAGTTTATATAACAGATAACTGTTTTTGATTGAGACAATGGTGAAGAAAGTCAGGAGCTCATATCTTGGCCCAATTGTGCAGTTGCATGCAGTTCCAGATCCCATAACCATCTTTCCCAGACTTTTTTCTTGAAAAGGGGCAAATGGCTCATTTTGGGGGTCGGGGGAGGGCGTGAAATGACTCACCTTCCGTAGTTGTGTTTTCGTCTCATAGTAGGCGATCACAGGAATGGATGCTCTGTAGTAGGTTTCCAGACGCTTGGCGATGGTCTTGGAGGCGTCGTCCATGCGCGGGCTGCTCTGGCTCCTTTGGAGCAGACGGTTGGTCATGGTGTCTGCCGAGCAGTCCATGCAGATCACCAAGTGTGGGTCTCTGATCTGAGGTGGATGGAGCAGAGCACAGATCGTCAGAAGTTCCACTCTGCTGATGTCCTGAGAGGCTTGGGGCCCTCATCTCTTTCATTTCTTGGCCTTCTGGGTCCTCTCAAGAGCCCAGAATGATATCAAGGCACAGCAGGGATTAGACTTTAGGGTTCCTCATTTCCGGGTCAGTCCCTTTCTGTATGCTGTCTAAGAGCTGTTTCTTGTCCTCAGCTTTAAGATCATGGCACACAATGCCGGGATAATATGTTTCCCACTGCAGACAGTCTGCCTTCACACTGAAGGGGTGGGGTGGGGTGTGATATTTGCTCCTATGAGGAACCTTCCCTGACCTTCTGAGTCAGTGATAATCACTTCCCTTCTCCATACCACCATTACAACTTCTTCTAGCCACCAGTAGATACTGTGTGGGGGTGAAGGGAGCATAATGGCTGAGCATGCAAAGATTGGAGTCAGGCTGTTTAGGGCCAAATCCTGGTACAGTGATTTATCTCCAAGATGGACTTGATTAATTCCTTACCTTGCTTTACTTGTAAGCTATTCCTTTATTGATATGTAAAGTCTATTCCTCTACCCCTTGAAGCTTTATTGATATGTAAAGTCTATTCCTCTACCCTCTGAGCTGATTTATAACTGTTTTGACCAACAGAATATAATGGTATAATGCCACATACTATTATATAGATTCTAAGGAATTTTGTGATTTCTGCTTGGTTTTGTGGAATACTTGCTGTAGGGGAAGTCAGCAACCATCTCAGTGTCTATCTACCTTGTCACTGCCAAGTGGTGAGGTCCGAGCTAGCTATGTGGAGAGGCCACATGGGCAGAGATGCCAGCTAACCCCCAGCCCATCCTCAGCCCCAGACATGCACACCCAGCCTTGGCCACTACCTGACTGCTGTGATGTTAGGGACCCCACATGAGAACTTGCCAGCTGAGCCCATCAAACTTCAGAGCCATGAGCAATAATAACTAGCTGTTCTATTAAACCACTAGACTTTATGATTCACTAAAGTGTCACCTAATGTCTTTGCATCTTGAATTTCTCATTTGTACAATAAGGGTGGTCATAAGATTGTTGTGAAGATTAAAGAAAATGAAGGTAATGTAAGTACACTGCTTGGCATATAGCAAATAGTAAGCACAAAGCTTAGCTATTATGCTTATTTCCACTAGTGAGGTCTGATCTTAGTGGGTAGGGGCTAAGAAACCTGTTTCCTGTCCAAATTCTTGCACATAAAAGGAGATTATGTTTAAATGAATGACTAATGATAATATAATCTGTAACTTGAACTTCTCCATTTCCCCATCTCTCTCTCTGTGTGTCTTTCTTTTGCACTGGGGATTGAACTCAGGGGTGCTCTACCACTGAGCTACATCCCTGGTCCTTTATACTTTGAGACAGGGTCTTGCTAAGTTGCCCAGGCTGGCCTTGAATTTTCCATACTTCTCCCTTAACCTCCCAGGTCTCTGAATTACAGGCATGTGTCACCATGCCCAGCTCCCTATTCTCTTAACGGATCTGTTTCTGGTGTCTCTGGATTATACCATATATGACTCCACAACTCACCCCAACCTCAATGGATCAAAAGAAGCCATTGCTCCCCTGATTTGGCCATGCCCAGGCTGTGAGTGAATGCAGGCTTGTCACTTCCCTACAGAAAGTACCTGGAGTCGGGCAGGAAGAAAGCTGGGGCACAGGAAGACTTTTAGGACACACAGAGAAACATGAGCTGCCACAAGGGTTTTATCCACACTCACCCCTGAGGGTGGAAGGTCCTTTAAGGAGCAGAGTGGAGAAATTCTCCAAAATGTACAAGAATGAAACAAGCCTCTGGAGCATGTCATATTTTTCTGTCTGTAGTATTGGAAGGGAAAAATGAGCATTTGAACAGCAAGAAAGGCTGAGTGAGAGTTGGGGAGAAAATGATCCCTGTTCACCAGCAGAGGGCGAGTGTGGGAGGCAGTCCACAGTTCAGTCACAGAGGTCTCCCTGAAACAGTTCCTGTGTGGGTCCCTTTCAGGCCATTCTTGGGGGCTGGAAAGACAATTCTGGAATCATTCAGGCACAAAGAGAGATTATGTGTATCTAAGTGGGAGCTGGCATTAATGACCCTCTGGACTAAAATAAGTGCTGGGCAAAGAGGCTGCTTTGATTCTTAAGTGTGGTGGGTGGATCATCAGCATATAATTAGGGGGCTTGTTAGAAGCAGTCTCAGGCCCAGCACCTGACCAAGACCCGTAGGTGATGCTTCACAGCCTGAGAGTTTGAGAAGCTGCCCTACCCAGCCATTTCCTTGGGCTGAAACTCTGGGGCTTGACCTCTCTTTCCTGTAATCAGTGCTCTCTTCTGCACAAAGCGGTCAAGCCATCACATTCCATTTGAAAGGGACCCGCGCCACATTTTAATTTTATTACTAAAATCTTTGAAATGTTTTGTTTTTTCAAGATGCTTTAATATGTAACTTTACAAAGTCCATTGGAGTAGTTCTCTGGCTGCTAGTTATGCCTTTTGTCCACCACACCGTGGTTTACCACTAACATCAAGTGGGCAAGAGAACAGAGAACTCTGCCCTTGTCTGTACGAAGGCCCTGATACCATCACCCTGCCTGCTTCCCTGGAATTCTGTCACCACATCTTTGGATTCTTCATTGCCTTTGGTATCAGGGACCCTCCACTGGAGCCCAAATGTCCTTCAAAGGTGTAAGGATTCAGCTTGAACTGATTGCAGCTACTTTGAGTCGTAACTCCCATGGTGGCCTCTGAGTCACCCTGGTCACTTTTCTTTATGTAGTCTCCCAGCATTCTATAAATAAACAAAACCACTGAAGAGGTATGCAGCACTTAAACCAGACCCTGGCCTTTTTCTTTCATATTAGCTGAAGATTAGCCAGGTACATTCTGGTTTGGATGCAGCCATTTTATAGGCCCTGTCTTCCTGACCCAAATCATGGGGATCCACCTGGTCTTACCGGTACTTGGGACCATACTTCTGCAGTAAGTCCCTAGGAAATTGTAGTCTGTGTAGTCCTGGATCTCTCTGCCTCTTTGGTGCTTTGGGGCCGATTCTCATTGACTGGGATCTGGTGTTCTAGAACAGAAGGCTATTGGGATCCTCTAACAACATTTCAGCAGCTGAATGGACTCAGCTAAGGGCTTTAGAGACAACCATCTCTAGACCCATTAGCACCCCTGCTGGGAGGTATTACTATCTCCACTTTAAGTCGTGGAAATGGGAGCTCCAAAGAGTTAATTTGCTTAATGTCAGTAAGAACTAGTTAATGACAGGCCTGAGCCACCTGCATTTACCTCAAAAGCCTTGTAACTTCACCCTTGTGAAGAGCCAGGGCTTTCAGAATAGGCCTCAGGCAAGATGCTCAGTGGGCACACAGAGGCAGGAGAAGAAGATGGGATGGAGGGAAAGGAAGTGGGGACTTGGCATGCATGGTGTTGCCTATTTTTCAGAATCTGGCTCTCACTGCCTTTTGATATTCAATTGGGATCAGCACTTGTCCTTGTACTCCTCAGTGGGCTTGGAACAATGGTTTGGCCTTGGTAATCCCAGCAAGTGGAGGGAGGGATGTTTGCCTGCTCTCCTCTGACCCCCACCTCAGTTTTCCTCCAGTGGAGTGGGATTACAGGTTAGGCCATGTTTACCAATGGGCAGGAACTCTCCATGCACCTAGGAACTCTCTTCTGTGGAGAACAACTCTCTGACCCAAATGGTTTCTTCATGTTTTTTTAAAAAAATAATTTTTGTGTCAATTTTATTGAGGTACAATTAACATACAGTAAGATTTGCCAATTATTATTATTATTATTTGTGTGTGTGTGGGGGTGCTGGGGACTGAACCCAGAGGTCTTGTTCATGCGAGGCAAGCACTCTATCAACTGAGCTACATCCCCAGCCCAGTTCTTTCATTTTACAATGAATTTAACCCTAGTTTCTGCCTCTCAGGAGTATAGTGAGGGTAAATGAGTTCATGCATGTAAAGTGTCTATGTCAAACACTACATAATTGGGGGCTAACATTATTTGATGTAGGCCTTTGCAACATATATATCCTTTGAGCTGTAAAATCCCATTGGTCAGATTTGGGTTTATACAGAGTCAGAAGCCCCACTTTGGCTTTTAGCCTGAGGTGCAGGCTCCAGCATGCTTACTTACATCCCCACAATGACTGACAACAAAGCCACAAAACCCATTTCTGTGATTCCCACTCAGAGGTACAGCCCCTTGGGGAACCTCCCTGAGGAAGGAATCTCTGGGTCATTCCCATATGTCTGAAGGACACTGCCCTAGAGGAAACGCTCCCCTTCCATTGCCCACCATCTCTTCGACCCCTGACACCACCATCACACAGACAAATATTCTGCAGTGAACAGAAGTCAGAAGAGTGGGAGAATCTCAAGTAGAAAATCCAAAGTGGCTCTCAAGGCTCCCCACAATCACAAGCAACTGGACTCAAGCAACTACACAGTCCCTTGGCTAGACTCAAAGTTTCTGTTAAGAGACTACAGCTTAGATTACATATGTGAACAAAACTAATGTTTCTGCCCATGAAGTCCAATGGGAGTGAGGAGTAGTCAGGCAGAGGGACAGTAATGCCATCATTCACACACCCAGGAATATCATGTTCATGTTCCAGCTAAAGACAGAATTGTAGCTCAGTCTCCTGGGAGAGAAGAACCCAGAGCAGGCCTCCGCCTTTTACTTTCTTTTTTTTTTTTAATTTTTTATTGTTGGCTGTTCAAAACATTACATAGTTCTTGATATATCATATTTCACACTTTGATTCAAGTGGGTTATGATCTCCCATTTTTACCCCATATACAGATTGCAGAATTACATCAGTTACACATCCATTGATTTACATATTGCCATACTAGTGTCTGTTGTGTTCTGCTGCCTTTCCCATCCTCTACTATCCCCCCTCCCCTCCCCTCCCCTCTTCTCTCTCTGCCCCCTCTACTGACATTCATTTGTCCCCCTTGTA